TTCTCCCCTCTTTTTCTGTTCTTCCATTCCACCATCTGTTTTTTCCTGGGTGGTGCTTTGCATTTCTCTAACTATTCTGCATACTTCTAGCTTCAGGTCGTTGATAACTTCATTCCTGAATTGGTCTATGAGGCTCTCTAGATGGCGCTTAATGTATATTGGTGCGGTGTCCACTATTGCCTGTTTCTCAGGATTGGGGGCCGAGGAGCCTTTTTTGTTGCTTCCCTTCCCCATATTTTCTGTTCCTTATAAAATGCAAGCTTACAAAGGAAGCCCGGCTTCCCTGCCTGTCAGCCACAGCCTGGTCAAATTGCGCTGGCTAGTTGTTCCCGCCCACCGCTGCGCACCAGGGAGTCGCGGAGGAGGCAGCCTACGCGGGAGTCAGTCGCTCCTCCGGGCCACCGTCAGGCTCTGGGATCTGGGTTAGGCCAGCCTAGGGAGTCCGCCAGCAGCGTCACTCAGGCCAGGGACTTTTCACCAATCCCGTCCGAGAGGGGAATGTGTGGCTGGAGTTGCCATGGCGCCCTGCTCCTACAGGACTGCCCGAGCCCAAAAAGACCTCCGCTGGAGTCAAACTGTGGTAGGGGCTCAGTTTTCTCGCTCACCTTGCCACCAGTCAGTTTTCGTGTACGCCTTCTTGTCCGTCCTGTTTTCGACTCCGTTCGCAGACTCCCGTTCCCGAGCTTCTGCGCGTCTCTCCTTGCCGAGCCGCTTGTGGAGGCAGCCAGCCGCCGGGCGGCGGGAAACCCAAATCGCGGCGGGATACCCAAATCGCGGTTTCCAATGGCGCGTAGTCGAGCCTCCACACCGAGCCTTTTCTGTTCCTATTTTAGCGCCAGGACTGTATTTTAAGTTGGTTTCTCTCAGCCCAGTTCGTTCCTGAGTCAGCAGAGCATATCTCTACTGGTTCGTGACTCCTTAGTCCGCATCATTCCTGGCCTCTGAGCCGAGTCTTCCAGAGAGCCTTCGGTAGTTGCTGTTGTCTGTCCGCCATGTTCTCCTCCTCCCTCCATTTCTCATTTGAACATTTTCTTTCCAATACCTGCCATATACTTTGGTCTTTATTTACACGCTCGGTTTATCACACCAGAGAAGCAATTTGGAAATTAAACATGTGTCTCATTTATTTCACTTTAAGAGAGGCATGGAAGATTTGCTGTTTCAGTCATAAAAACGCCTCTTAGTGTGACCACTTTTGAGCATATGGATTCTAGTTGTAGATGATTAATAGGCAGCCACATTTTAATGTCACTGTGAAAAATTGTCCAGCGTCTTTATTCAGATGTCCTGATCAAGAACAGAGAGGGGAAATGTTCTTATATTTTAAATGACTGGCCTTTGACTTAAATCAGATCTTCAGAGTAATGACTGGATGATAAACCATCTCAAATCTTAATTACAACATTTTTTAAAGTTATAATGAAGTCTTAAATTTTCCATTTTTTTTCAGTAAACACTTTATGTAGAATATTTATATTGAAAAACATATATTCTAAAAGATTTGTATTTATGAAATAATTCACATTGGAGTGTAACTTTGGTATCCTTAATGCAAATTTATGTGAAGTGACAAGAAAAATAATTTTAAAATTAAATACCTACTCATTTAAATGTAATTTCTCTCTGTTCGTGCAATACTAGTAAATCTGAAGTCCGTGGACTTCTTCACTCTGCTTTTGAACATAAATACCACTCAACCTCATCCGAGGCTGGAGAGCATGTAGCAGAGAATGGAGGCTTTGGTACGGCTGGAGCAGAGCTGACCCACTGGCAGGCCTGGAGGAGACCAGAAAGACCATCTGGGCTCTTCGCTCGATGCATACCTACTCCAGAGCCTTGGCCGTGTCACTTCCCTTTGTAATCCTTTAAGATTGACCAAAAAGACCAAGCGGATAATAGATGTGCATGGAATTTGATCAGTAACCTTGACATTGTAACAAATTTCCCATTCATGATGCGGAGCTTCTGTTTCCTCACCTGTGAAATGGGGCTGCTCTTACTGCCGGCTCCATGGTGAGAAGGCTGGAGATAGTGCACGCAGGGGACCAGAGGCCTGACCTGCAGTCTGTGCCTCTGTTTCATGGGGCCGGCCAACACTAGTAGGTCCCTGAAGTTTTTCCTGTTGAATCCAGGCATCACAGCTAATCTTTGGTTTGTAATGTTCCAGGCCACCACTCGTAACTGGCTGGAGCTGACTGGAATGTAAAACCTCAGCGTGGGGTACTATCCCCGTAGTAGCTGTCCTTCGGAAATAGAGATTTTCACTGCCACCTGCAATTCATTTGAATTTTTTTTTGAAGTTACTAGAGCAGTACTAGTAAAGTAAGTCTTGGTAAATGTTTAGGCATGGTGTAGAAAGATAGGAGTTTGCTGTCTTTCAGTCTGTGTCACATGCAAAGTTCTTGTACAGAATTCTGTTCCTGTTTACTTTTGTAGTGTGTGTTTAAATCTCTTTCAAGGTGTGTATGGTCACTCCCTTTAGGCCTTTCTACCCTCCTAATCAATCTGAAGGAACTCAGACCATCTACACAGTTTCCAAATAGGTATCCTTTTTTCAGAATGAAATCAACCATAATTCTAAAAGCTTCACTTTTGAAACCTGGAATGTATATGAAGGCATGACAAATGCAAATATTTTGTATTGAAATGCAAATCTATGTAAAGTGAATAAAAAACTTGGGCTTTTAGTTTTGTTTCACTGTTAATGCTCTTTTCCTTAGAAAATCTTCTTAAAATGACAAATGAATCCTACACAAAAAAGTAGTTTGGCCCTAGCATTTTCACAGTATGTACTTATAACTAGAAAATCCATGTCTTTTTTTGTAAGCCTAAGTATCTTATTGCTAGTTTGCACAGAAACAGTGATTTATATTCTTGATTTGCAGTGTTAAAAAGTGTAACTATACTGGGACTGTTGAATTACGTTTCACAGCTTAATTTGTAACACTAAAATAGTAAAGGGCTAAGTAACAGAAGTTGCTGTCTTCTTAATGGAAAGTGAATTTCTTTGCTTACCATGATCTTAAAAATGCCTCAAGGTAGTAGTGAGTGTGTTGTTGCTGGTTTGTAGCATCCTTGTAATATCATCAGCAAAAGTTTCTGCTGAAATATCAAGATCTGCTTATCAAATTCCACCCCCAGCTCTATCTACCTGTCAGTTTCAGTCAAAAGTCTTAACTGACACAGTGGATTGTCTAGTTTGTTTAGGCTTTGCTTTTTGTTTTTTTCTCTTTTTAAATGATGCCCTATCGATCTTCAATATTTTAAAACTTTAATATTATGAGTCGAGTTGCATTACCTGTTTGAATTCCTTGTTAACTGCCATCTGCAGGTATGTCCTGTGTGCTGTAATCATGGAGCTGTCCTCTGGGTGGTGGCCAACTTCATACTGAGGCCTGCGAGTGTGCAGAGAAGTGGGGATGCCTGCTGTGGGTGGTGTCTACTGGGTAGGGTGGGTGCTCTGGAAGCTTCTTTCTGGCCTTGGGGGCCATGCGGATCTGCACTGAGTCACAGAGCCAAGCACTGGTCACAGCCACCGGGCTCGGGTTGCTTGTGGGTCAGGAAGGATTATTAGCTTTCCTGAGAGCCACTGGGCTTAGACAGATCCCTTCTTCCCTGAACCAGGAGACATTTTGCTTGGGTTTAAAAGAGACAGACAACATGATAATTGGAAATATTTTAGACATGACTGTATAGCCAATATGTTCAAAATGCTGGGGACATGGAAGCAAATTTGCAGGCGGGAGGAGGACTTTGGTTTGGAGGAGGACTGAGTTGCTTTCTGGAAGAGAACAGCCACATCTCTCCCCTGTTCATGTATCCTGTTCCAAACAAGGGTGGCTTTGATTTCCTGGTCTTTGTACCTTCACTTCCAAACCCCATAACCTACGTATGGTGGGTGTGTGGCGATGATCTGTGGAGCGTGACCGCAGTGTGGTCTGCTAGGTAAGAGCTGCTTCACTCCTTCATGATCCCAGGCTGCCTGTGTGCCTGTCTGGCACCACTTTGTGCAGTGGTGCGGGAGCTGGAGAGCTCAGCTTTCCCGAGAGACACAGTTTAGATTAGTGAGCCTCAGTTTGGATGTGGGATTAAGGACCCTTGAACATCAAAGGCCTGCTCCCCCAGAAGAGAGCACTTTTCATGAGGAAGAGAGTGGATTTGGTAGGGTCTCAGCCCGTGGGGAAGCAGCAGGGACCAAAGTCATCTCCTTTCACTCTGTTCTAGCATGTGAAAGGCTCTCCTGGGCTCCACCAGGGTCCTCTGGCTGTTCTTCCTGTGAGGCTGGACTGCTGGTGGTTTACTCCTGACACAGGGAAGCTTGCCATTTTAGTCACACTCTCATTCTTGGGGCACTGTGGGTGGCACCTACTCCTCAGAAGAGGGGAGGTTAAAATAAGCCTTCCAAGGTAGGAAGGCCTGGCGGAAGGGTCCAGGCAGAGGAAAGCTCCTCACGTCGGGGCAGCTGGGAATCCAACTGGGGGAGCTGGGAAAGGAGATGCATCTTCTTGGTCACCCACCACCCGGTGACCCACCTCTTCTGAGCAGATGTGGCCCCCAAATCCCGTCAGCTATCACAAGCCCCGCCTCTGGGTGATGAGGCTTTGAGGGGCATTTTAGATGTAACCCTCCTGGTCCAGACTGTTCTGCCAGTTTGGCCAAGAGGGGTCATAGGTTGTTTTCTTAGGAAGAACACGGGCAGCAGTGGTAGTATTTTCAAGCCAGCTAGGAAGGAGAGCTGCTTCATAAACCAGAATATACTATTTCAGTGTTTCTGCTTTCAAGAAATGTAAGTTAAATAACACATGGTTACCTGATTTACAACTGTTGTTCAACTCAAAACTGAGGAGTCTCTGGGGTGATACTGGTCACACTGAAAATCACCACCAGGTGCTGCCTCTCAGCTTAGCTGTGCCTGATGCAATACCACACTAGGGAATTGCCAGCCTACTACCTCTGCAAGTCTGCCTTACCTGCCATTGTTTCCCTTCTGCGCCTTTCAGGTACAACAGTGCCAGCCCACAGGGCCATCCTGGTAGCCCGCTGTGAAGTGATGGCGGCCATGTTCAATGGTAATTACATGGAGGCAAAGAGTGTCCTGATTCCAGTTTATGGTGTTTCCAAAGAGACTTTCTTGTCCTTTTTAGAGTACCTATACACAGACTCCTGTTGCCCAGGTGAGTAGTATTCTATATAATATGTCACAGTTCTCCTCTGTCATTGATATTCATTTTGGGAAGTTGCATTTACCAGAGTTGACTTCATGGCATATGCTAAATAGTTGGAGGTGGTGTTTGGGACAACAATGAGTTTTCAGTTAGTTCAAGTAAAAAACAATGATTGGGAGCCTTTTGTGGTTCACACGCATGCCCCATGCAGTGACAACATGTTGCGATGGCTTGGATACCCCAACAGTGGAGGTGTTTTGGGGTACAGTGGCTAATTCTAGAGAGAGGGGCAGAAGGCTTCTTGGAGCACAAGGATCCTTCTGTCTTCCACAGGAAGAAGGTTGGATGACTGCCCTTGTGTCTGAGTTCTGACTCAGACATTTCTAAGGGCTTCCTGTGTGCAGATACACCCTTGTTTGTTTCTGGTAGAGGATACAGCCATTTTAAAGGATCCTTCTGACTTGTAAAGTCAGATTGTTACTATACTGACTTCTGAAGACTTTGAAATTATTTCCACATTCACTGACCAAAGACTGTCTTTGACCAGGAAACAGCCATCTGTCATAGCTACAGATTGGAGCAGATCTTGCAGATTACCTTTAGCTAAAGCTCCCTGGAGAAACTGCAAAATCCTTTCAGCAGATGTAAAGCCTTGTGATGCAGGCATGGAAAGCCTGGTCGTTATTCTTACTCTTTGGCCACCAGGTGGCTCTGGTCACGACCACAGCTAGAATATGTCCCATGTAGCTTACTGACTGGGGCCCAGAGCCTGAGACCTTTTACAAAACCTGGCCCTAGAAAATATAAAAAGAAAACACATTTCAGACCATGCTTCTCTTCATATTCACTGCTTTAATTTTTTAACTGAGAAAAGATTTCCTGCATATGTTACTGAAATAAGTAGTGAAAGGCTTTTGAAGTTCTGAAAAAGAATACTCCTTTTCAAACTGAATTAATTGAGGTCTTACTGCTAACCATGGAGTATTTTGGAACCAAATGTTACTGTCAGTGTTACAGGTTGGCTTTTCTTTTCTGCTTGGCAAAAATGAAAGCGTTAGTTCTAAATAGAAATAAATGTAATTGTTTATTATTTCAATATTCATAAATTTGTATATTCAATAAAAAATCAAGCAGATTTCAAATAACAGGAAAATTTTGTTTCTCAATCATCGTCGTCTCATTTGAGTAACTGAACTGACTTATTTTAGGTTTTACCTTGTTGATTAGGAAAAAATGTTCAGGAAAGCAATACGTATAGAACAAAGTACTTTAAAAGTTGGTAAAAGTATAATGGAAAAAATTAATCAAAACAGACGAGCTATATACTAGAATAGATGCATTGGGAAAGTCACAGAATGTTTGTTCTGTTAACTGCTTACCATACACGCTGTTTTTGGTTTCACTGCTACAAAAGAATGTAAGGAATTTGGGGAAGTGTAAGAAAGAATTGCATGAAAGAGCAGACTTCTCCTCAAGTGTTTAAAAAAAGAATGGAAAAATGTAGATGGCCAGAGGCTGATTGTTTAAGGGGTTTAGACTCTACAGCAAACCAGTGGCATGCTTTTGAGAGCTCTAGAAGGTTCTTCATCACTGGTCTAGAGTTTTAGTTTGACAAGATAAAAAAAATATTCCAGAGATGGGTGGTGATAGAACTGTGGGGGACCAGTGGCGGCTGAAAAGATAACAGATACGAAATATAAATGACCTTTATTTTGAGAATGTGGGGAGAGACACCCCCGATCCCTGGGGCGCGGCATCTCCATCCCGGGGTCGGTGATCTCCCTGTGGAACACGTGGAGTGGGGGCATACATGTAGCTTAGGTTAGGGGTGGTGCCTGAGGGGCATTAGGGATGCACAGGTAGCCCATTGGTATACTTTTGGTGCCAGAGGTAGATTCCTAGGGGTGGGGGAGATAGAGCCCCTTGGCTTTACCAGCTATAGTGTCCTGTCTGTGCCAAAACTCTTTCAGGTGTCAGTGGTGGGTGCTCAACAAAGTGATGGTGCTTCATGACACTGAACTGTAAACTTAAAAATGATTAAAATGAAGTCTAACAAAGTGGTGTTAACTTATAACCCCTCAGCTTGGGAGGCTGAGGCAGGAAGATCTTAAGTCCCACCTGAGCAACTTGCCTCAAAATGAAAAAAAAGAGGCTGGGGTTAGCTCAGTGGTAGAGTGCCCCTTGCTTCAATTCCCAATTGAAAAAAAAATTTAAATAATAAATTTTATATTTATTTTTGTCACAATGAAAACAAAACAAAACCAAGCCTAGGGACTAAATCCAAAAAAAGAAAAGTTGCAAGAATTTAGCTAAGAGAAGGACTGATCTGAGAGCTCTCAGTTGACTCTATTGAGGATAATTATAGAATCACTTCTCTGGAGAATTTAACAAAGTAATTCTCTTCTGAGGGTAAAGGTTTCAGTGGGCCCTTTCGTGGTGGTAATGTAAGGGAAAGAAACTCCCAGTCTACTGATACAGGGAATGAAACTCCTGTCTCCTGTATGTCCGGTACGAATTCATGCTCTCTAAAATAGAAGAATGAGTTTAGGAACAACAGAGGTTAAGAGCAGAATTTATTTATTGATAGAAACTTTCTGTCTGAGAGAGACAGAAGGGGTCCCGAGTGGGTTGCCAAGACTCTCTCTTTTCTCAGAACTTTTATAGAGCAAAACCATGAGATGAGATGGGTCAAAGGTGGGGAAAATGGGAACTTGAAAGGTGGGATGGAATTGTGGTCAACCAATAAGATCAATCACTCAGGTAAAGATGATTAAATTTTGGACAAATGGAAAAGTGAGTCCCAGAGCAGTGGCTCTTTCCTATTGGGGATTGGAATGATGACTCCTTGCTTTCTCGGGGTGATAGAGACCTATTTAGAATATCCCCCCTTAGGGTCTGGGTGCATTTGTTTGATCTTTTGCCTTGAGGCCTGGCCCACAGCAGGAGGTGTCTGTCTCTTCCACAGTTGCAAGGTATCTGGGCTTCTTGCACTGGCTCCTTCCAGGACCTAGCCCTGTCTGACTGCCTGTCTAACTCAGTTGCCTGTAACAGTGGTGCACACCTCTAATCCTAGCATTAGGGAGGCTGAGGCAGGAGGATTGCTGCAAGTTTAAGGCCATCCTGGGCTACATAGTGAGTTCAAAACCAGCCTGAACTATGTGGCAAAACCCTGTCTCAACCTTTTGTGGCCCCCTCCATAAGAATCATGGTATAGACTGCTTCCTGCCTCAAGGCTTTAGTCTGTACTGGGTGATCCCACCAGCATGGGTTTTGGTGTGTGTGTGTGTGTGTGTGTGTGTGTTTAGGTCATATTGATGTAGGGGAATGAAACTTCTAACCTGCTAGATGTCTAAAATGTTAAGTTCATGTTCTCTAAATTCGAGGACTGAATTCTAGAAACAATGGAGGTTAAGAGTAGAAAGAATTTTTTCAGAGAAAGGGAGCTTCTGTCTGAGAGGGACTGAAGGGGGCCCATACAGTGGGTTGCCTGCCAATCCGCTTTCAGCTTGTACTGCTGAGCTACATTCCCAGCCCCAATCCCGCTTCTCAGAGGTATATTTTGAGCAAAGCCATGAGGTGAGGCAGGCTCAGGGTAGGAATTAATCAGTAACGTAAGTATAGTTGCTTAGGTAATATTGATCCAATGGCAAATCACAGGATGCATGTTAAGTGGAACAAAACTGTGTCAGTCTGTAAGTATACAACAGGTCAGTGTTAGTCACAGTGACTAAATGGGGATCAAGTGGGGAACAAGTCTCTTGGAGCAAGCACACCTGGGCGGACAAGGACTTTCCTGCAGGGGGTGGGTTGAGGAGGTGTGGTCCTCCACCCCAGGGCGACTGGTGCTTTCTAGGCATCTCAGTCACTGCTGTTCATTCCCAGGAAGTCATGAGTGAGGCGTTCTTCTTTCCTGGAAGCCTGACTTCAGTGACTGCGCCTCCAGCCACAGTTGTCTTCTGCTCTGACCCCTCGAGGGCCTGTGCCTGTCTGACTGCCCACAATATTTCTGCCTAACTTGGCTGTCTGTAATAATGTCGGCAGTGGTTTTACCACCGGCCCTTTTGTGCGTCTCCTCTTTCTTTGCAGCTGGCATTTTCCAGGCCATGTGCCTGCTGATCTGTGCTGAGATGTACCAGGTGTCGCGGCTGCAGCACATCTGTGAGCTCTTCATCATCACACAGCTGCAGAGCATGCCCAGCAGGGAGCTGGCCTCCATGAACCTGGACATCGTCGACCTGCTCAAGAAGGCCAAGGTAATTGGCCTGACGGGTCTAGTTCTTTTGATGTAAAAGCGATAAAATTTTGTACTATTCCTTTAATACTTTGTTTTTTAAGAGAGAGGCAGGAGATGGCAAGTTTGAGCCCAGCCTGTGCAATTTAGCAATTTAGGGAGACTCTCAGAATTAAAAAAAAAAAAAATTAAAAAATAAAACAGTGGCTGGAGATATAGCTCAGTGCAAAAGCCCTGGGTTCAATCACCAGTACTAGACAAAAATAAAATAAGACAGTATATATCAATGCTGTTCCTGGTCAGAAAGTTTGATTAAATGAGGTTCCACAAGTTTCATTAGCTACTGTTGAAGAAAACCTAAGGGTTTTTGCTCTGTCCCCCTCTAAGGTGACAAGGATGGAAGGGTTTTCTAGCAGTGACCTGTAGCAGAGTCATTTGGATGTGTGCAGCACTATGTCACTTATTATATGAAATACAGTTTGTATTGCATTTCCCCAAAGGATCGCATGTCAGGGTTCCCAGAAGGAAAAATGGCAGGTGATCTAATGCTGATAGGTATGGCATTGTTAAACTGATTCACTGCTTCATTCATTCATTTTGTGAACATGTTTTGAAGTTCCAGGTGTTCATACAAGATATTATTGTATTTCATTTATTCTTGCAAAATGTCTTTCATTAGTATGTTTCACTGAGTTATGAGTACAGTTTTGAAAAGTTAGAGACTGAGGAACACTTCAGTATGTCACCCTGGTTTTTCTGGGCATCTTCTTTTTTTTTTTTCTTTTTTCTTTTTATCGGTACCGGGGATCGAACTCAAGACCACCTGCTTGCAAGGCAGGTAGGTACTTATGCCGCTGAGCTAAATCCCCAGCCCCTCTGGGCATCTTCTAAGATGGGACTTTGTTGTTTTTTAAGAACTAATGTCTAGAATATTTAAAGAACTCAAAACAATTAGAACACCTAAACAAAAGACCCAGTTAAGAAATGGGCAAGTGTAATGCACAGATACTTCTCAGAAAGAAATGCAAAGAGTCAACAAACATACGAAAAAATGTTCCCTAGTCATAGAGAAATGAAAATAAAAACATAGCTGAGATTCCATCTTACACCAGAAAGAACAGCTACCATCAAGAAATCAAAAAATAATGCTGGTGAAGCTGTGACGGAAAAGGAACCCTCCTGTGTGGTTGGTGGGAATGTAAACTAGTTACAGCCATTATGCAAATAAAGTTCCTCAAAGAACTCAAATTAGAAATACCATGTGACGCAGTCATTCACCTTCTAGGCAACTTTCTCAAAGAGCTAAAGACATTGAACTAGCAACAAATGCAGGCCCGTGTTCATAGCAGTACTACTCAGAATAGTTAAGTCCTGGAAGCAGCTGGCCTACCCATCAGCAGACGATTAGATTTTTTAAATGTGATTTCTATACATTATGGGATACTATTCAGCTATACAGAAGGACAGAGTTGAGTCATTTGTAGGAAAATGCACCTGGAAAATGTAATGCGTGAAATAAGTCAGACACATGAGTGTAAATACTATGCCGTGTCTCTCATTGCATAAGGCAAAGCGCAAGCAGCACAGTGAAGATTGGATAGGAGGAGACAAGGGGATGGCTGTCTTAGAAATGGGCAGGGGGAACACGTGGGGGAGGAGGAACACATGCGGGAGAAGGGAAGGGAATGAGTAGAATAAGGATGTGCCATGCACAGGAGCCTAAAAGCCTCAAGGAGTGGAAGTGCTGCATGCCGTACACGTGATGTAAGATCAGTGACAGCAACAAGAACAAAAAACAAGGAGAGGGGATTTAGAAGAAGGAGAGCGGGGAATTAGAAAAGAAAAAGCAAGCTGTGTTATGTACGCGTACTACTCCCCAAGATGATTTGCAACTGCATATACTGCAAACATGTGCTAAGTAAAAAAAAAAAGAAAAAAATTTTTTTGCTGCTAATTTTAGGAACAGATGAGTTCATACAAATTACTCATGAGTGACTGTATTTTCAAATACCCTAGGATATCATGGATCTGACAAAGAACTGAGCCAGGTCTGTAAATAAACTGGGATTGCTTGAAATCATCTCAAATTGTCAGATGTGGCCCAGTCAGAAGTCTACCATTGCCCTGGCATGGTAGGACACACCTGTAATCCCAGCACTTTGGGACGCTGAAGCAGGAAGATTTGCAAGAGTCTTACCTGGGCAATTTAGGGACACCCTGTCTCAAAAATTTAGAAAGGAGAGGGGGCATTGGGGATGTAGCTCAATGTAGAGCCTTGGGTTTAGTCCTTCATGCTACCTGCACTCCCACAAAGAAAAGAAAAGAAAACGTCACTTCATTGCCACTCGTACTTGCCATTCTTATCCTGGGAGCAGAGACTAACCCAGGCGAGTCTCACTGCGGTTCCTGTGGTTATTCACCATTCCATTCAGTTCCGGAGGCACTTGAGGACTTGAGGCTATGGTACACTGTTGCCGTTACTGACCTTGACCCCTCTAGATCCTTCTGATCTGGCACTACAGAATATCAGGGCTTCTTAACCATCATCTGGTGTACGACAATCTGTTCCCGTCACCTTTGACATCCAGGATTTTATGAAAGCATGGTGCTTTGTCTTCATGCAAATTGCTGGAACACAAGATGGGTCTAAGGACAGAAGTTCGGCACCTCAAGGCTCCCTCCCTCTCAGCATACATACTTCCGGTCATAGAGGGGAAGTTCTTTTGTTTACTGTCTCCACAACTCTTTTGGACTTCATTTCTCTCACAATCATCTTAAAATTACACGTATTCAGTATGAAGGCTACAGATACTTTAAAAATCGAAGAACCCTCAGCTCTCTTTTTAATATACTTACATGGAGCTTGAGTTCAGTAGGTAGCTGCCTTCCAAATTTAGTTTACAAATTCTTTTTCATTTCTGGTGTTTTCATAACCTAAGTTTATTTTAATGTATTCTTTTACAAGGAGATACGATCTGTCTCTTGCCAAAGGCTCATGATGGTGATATCTTAAATCTTCTCAAAAATAAAATTCTACATTTGAAGCATGTTTCTGCAGCTACTTGTTTGTCTCTGTAATCTCTTTTCTCTTTCAGAGACACAGCTCTCGGGCAGTGTTCTGACCTGGTTGTAGGTTAACTACTCTGGGTTAATCATCTAATAGTGATGGTGGCTCCTGTTAAAGTAGCTGCGAGTTTTCCACTTTATTCCTAAGAGATCACATTCCTCTGCTAAGAAGTAGGGAAGAAAAGATTGTCATGTAAGATTAGACAAACTATAATATCCCTTTCATACACTGAACATAAATCTATGAAGGTATATGTTATAAATTTTTAAAAGATTGGATCTTGAGTTTCTTCCTTAAGATTTCATCTTACAACTCTTCAGCTTAGTGTTGCTCATTGGTTAATTAACATTTTTGAGTTTTCTGAGAATTATACTTAACCAAAATGGTGTCCATCTAAGGATAAATGCATGAGTGAAAGGTGCAGACCACAGAATGTTAGCCGTGGAAAGGAAGGAATTTGGTATATGCTGCAAGATGGATGTCCCTTGGGAGACATTACGCTAAGTGAAATAAGCCTACAAAAGAAGGACAATGCCTATTTAAGTGTTTAGAGAAGTCACAGTTATAGTGACAGAAGGTAAGGTAATGGTTACCAGGACCTGGGGTAGAGGAGTAGGGGAGTTAATATTTAAAGGGTTCAAAATTTCACTTTGGGTTACAGAACAGTTCTAGAAATGGACAGTGGTTCTGGTTACACACATTTGGTTACATAAATCTGGTTACATAAATTTACGATGCCACTAACCTGTACACCCACAGATTATTAAACTGCCTTATATCATGCCTGTTGGACCACGGTAATAATAGTAATAAAAAAGAACTATACTTATATACCAAGTTGCCTACCAGCAGGTTATTGTCACTCAAACTGGGGGGGGGGGGCGGTGGATGACTCAGTTTCCCTGTCCAGCTGCTATTGGAACTCAGAAGAAGACTCATGCAGGAAGTCTAGCTTGGTGTGACAGGGTGTCCATTAAAAGTGGCTGTTCAGGTAGAACTTCCTCCTAGGACTGTTGGCCTGTGGCCTCCCCTGCCCTTAGGCTGAGGATGCATCCTCGTCAGTATTTTGACTTGCTCCTCAGTGTACATGTTTATTAGGGTTTCCTCACCACAATCTACAGGTGTAGTTGGTGAAGAAGTCCTGACCTTAGATTAAAAGTTTAGATGCAGTCCACAAGCATCTACAGTGATTGTTACCCACGGGGCAGGCATAGCTTGAAACTCACTGTTGATTCAGCTTCTTGACTAATACACATATTCGTATTCATGGGTGATGTTCCCGTTTCCTTCCTGCAGCTGTGACAGTTGGAAGGGTGCATTGTACATAGACACACAAACACAGATACCGGCTCTCTCCGGTTTCTGCTAGGTCACTGTCACCCTCTGCTCATGTTGATGGTCATGACGTGCAATATTGGTTCCTTTCTCATTTCTCTTGCAGTTCCACCACTCTGATTGCCTTTCAACCTGGCTACTTCATTTCATTGCCACCAACTACCTCATCTTTAGTCAAAAGCCTGAATTTCAAGATCTTTCAGGTAGGGGGAAAGAAAATAACTTTATGTTCTTCCTTCTTAGGTTTGAGATTATAGTTTATAAACCATAGTTTTAACCCAGTGATGCTTGATGTAATATGTATCTTTTAAATTATGCAGTGAGGTGACTGAGGACACTTTAATTTATAGTCACCAGTGTTACATAAGCAGCGTGACCTGTGTCACACAAGACATTTTCTAATAATTATTTTATTGCTCACATTCAATTTTAAATGCGTTTATAAAAAATAGATAAAAGGTGGCCAAAAGTGTCCTCAGGTGGCACTTGGTTTTGATAAATGAGATCTTGGTTGTCATTAAGAAGCAAAATTTAAACAATGCTTAAATTTTGATTGTTTATTATTATAACATAGTTTCATTTACTAGATATCTATATTAAGTGTATCTATTGGAGTCCCATGTATTATGTTGGAGTAATAAGTGTTTGTTAATTGCTATTCAGAAGTATATGTATTGTGCTTGTAAGGTAAATTATAAAGATTAAAACTCTTGTAATCCACAAACGAGCACCCAAACTTGAGTTTAAAATATGCGGCAAAAACATATTTTAAAAAAAGCAGCGCTGATTTATTTTATCCTGGGCCCAGCGACACAGTGTAGTTGGAGATTGCAAAAGCTGTGTGTGTCCCCACCCCCTACCCTCCACCCCCATACTTGCAGCCTTTATATATATATATATCACTGTTTACAGAGTAAGGGGTTTGGGCATGGATCAGGAGATAGGCTAATGGGGAAGATTCTGTTTTCCTCTACAGAGAACAGAAGAGTCTAGCAGCAATTAACAACCTTTTGTTACCTTATTTTAGCACCACATCTGTTATTTGTACAGGGCAGCAATGGTTAACATATCAATTAAGTCACCCAGAGGGAGAAAGGAGAAGGAAAACATATACAGAACACTTAGGGTCACATTACAGGTATTTTGGTATAATACAAATATAACGAAGCTCTTTTTCCTAGTGTACAATAAAAACCAAGCAAAGGGTGAGATTCCCAGTACTGCAACAAGTGGAAGACACATGAAATTGAAAATAGAATAGCATGGGGTTGGGGGTTTAGCTCAGCGGCGTAAGCGCCTGCCTTGCAAGCAGGCAGTCATGAGTTCGATCCCTGGTACCGATAAAAACGAAAAAGACCAAAAAAAAAAAAAAAAAAAAAGAAAATAGAATAGCTGTCATAGTAGACAATCAGACTAATCAGTCAACGAGATGCAGTGGTTTGGTCTTGTTTTTATCTACCATAGACTGAAGTAAAGTTGAGTTAAAGAGACAAGGAACTAAAAGACAACCTGGTCTGTACTTTCAAACCTTCGACAAAGAAATCTCCAAGGAGCCATGTGAAGGTCTTAGAGTTCCACATAAAATTCTCCTAAGTAAAAAGATTCTCCTGGTAAAAGATGTGGAAATCTCTTCATTCTGCCACTTATACCATTGTGGAAACTAGGAAACACAGTCAGATCCTGGCAGGTGTATTCAGTCAGACAGCAAACACTGTGTGCCTGTGGGAAGCTGCTAAGACAGCCTTTGTTAATTGTTTTTTCAAGTAAAGACAAAGCCCATTCATAAAGATTAGGCTGCTTCTGGTTTCTGTCAGTGGAAACATTCTTATGTAGTTTTTTGTTTTTTGTTTTTTTTTTTTGGTACCAGGGATTGAACTCACGACCTCGAGCTTGCCAGGCAGGCGCTTATGCTGCTGAGCTAAATCCCCAATAGTTATTGAGAAATTAATTAAAAGTCAGTATCTGTCTTCACTTTACACCCATTTTCAGAGGCTCGCTACTTAGGTCATCTTCACTGGTAAAGAAGAGTAAGGCTATTTCTGCCTGCACTTTGCAGAGCTGTGTGGCACGCACAGAGCACTGTTACAGCCTTGGGGGAGAGATGCTCTATACACTTCTTTGGCTACCAATTTGGATTACATTTCATTGCTGATGCGGTTGCCTGTGAAGTGTGGGTTCAGAACCTTTCCCTTTCCTGGGCATTTTGACTGGGGGCAGGAGCCAGGAGTCCCACGGTGGCTGATTTGGTGAATCAGGTGAATCAGGCGGGCGAGGACGATTGCATGTTCTCCGGAGCTTGCCTTCCCTTCAAAGTATTTGGCAGCAGCATGTACTGTATTTTTTAAATAAAACAACCTTTTATAAGATACAAGAGATATTAGATGAGACCTTGTAAGGACACTCATGAAAGAAGACTTCTGGAACTACTTCAGAAAGTAGCAGGTGATGGGAAAGGTGTGTTTAGAGCAAGAGGAAGTAATTCGAGGGGGATTAATGGCCATGTGTCTTTTTACTGTAATAATTTATTAAAATATAGTCACTATATAGTTCGATCACTTCTTGTGTTGCTGTTTTAGAACGCTAGATTTCTGGCCTCTTTTGAACAGTTAGAGTACCTGGGCACTCATCCATCTGTCCATGTAGCACTGGCTATGCAGCATAGGCACTGGGCAGTGGTCACCACTGGGAAGTGCTTGTCCTTTCCCTTGCCTTATGTCTGGGTCACCTCACGTGGTCTCTTAAAGTTCAAAAGAGTTTTTGTCACAGTTTCTTTACAGCTTCCTTGTAAAACAGGCCATTCTCACTGCCAGAAGTTAGCAAATTATCATTGGAATTCTGTAGATTGTTTTGACTACAAATTTTTTTTGATTTTAGAAGTGTTTGGAAATTAGACAGACTGGAAAAGAGCTGATATCCATGTGAGCATGGAAACCTTAGACCCCAATTAAGTAGCTCATTGCATAGGTCTTGAAATACTGGATTCTGATGAAACCAGAAACACACAGGAACATGTTACCCTTGGTGTTTGTGGGTTTATTTTTCTCACAATTAGTTTAATTTAGCTCAGTAACATACTGTGTATTATATGGTATAGAGATTTTATCTTGTTTTTGCTGGCTGCTAGAGCTCATCTGTGCTAACTTACTTGAGAAACCACCTCCTGTCACTTTTGCCTCATAGTGAAACTTAGAGGACTTCCTTCCCTGAGCAGCTTGGTTCTTTCATCCAGGCCTGCACCTGTGATGGAGGGCTCTTCTGTCTAGATTCCAGCAGATGAGGTTGAGTCAGATGAGACTGAAAACTGGCTTAGCAGGAGGAAACCTCAATGCACACAGAAAGGGGTAGCAAAGAGACTGCCCAAGCATGATCTCCAAAGTCTTAGATGTTTGAGGTGCTGGGTGTTTCTGAAGCCAGGATGAGGCTCAGAGAGGAAAACAGTAGAATTGGTTGAATATTAAGAAGCTTTTACTGCCTCCTATATACACACACACACACAAGCAAGTGGTTCCCTGTCTTTGCAGGAGATGGGAATTTATTTCTGGAGAAATTCAAGTGTACAGAGCTTACAGAGTCGTAAAGTTTGGGTGTTACTGACATCAGGGGTGAGGCGCTGAACTGACATGGTGTTATGTGAAGTGTGTGCATTGCATACCAAGTCTCCAGCCTCCTCTCTTATCCAGGTTCAAGAATTCTGGCAGCTTAGCAGTTGCCAGCCTGGCTCCCATATCCTGGGCATGAAGTGGAAGCAGCCTTCTCTGCCCACATCTGATGACCATGTGGGCATGTGTGTCCGCTCAGTCATACTAGGCATTTTCCATCCGTGCCCCAAAGGTTTCCAAGCAGCTTCCAGTGTCTTGCTCTTAACTATGAAAGAACCATTGGAAATCAACAGAGAGCTTGAAGCAATTGCTGACACAAAAAAATAAGTACCAGTAATGAAACAATAAATACAAACAGAAAAAAAAAATGAAGTTAGAGGAGCAAAGGTGCAGGAGAGCCAGTTCTTTTTTTTCTAATTGGAGACTCATTCTGGAAAGTGCAGTACATTGCAGAAGTTCATATAGAAAAACAATGGGAAGCAATTTACCAAAGAAATAATCTAAGGAAGTTATCCAAATACTGGGGACACCAGGCAACACACTGAAAGAATTTGCTAAGTGTTCAGCTAAATGAACAGGGTACATTGGTACATATCATTGAGTATAAAGAGAAAAATCTAAATTTCTAGGACCGAAACACTGCTTGTGTACCCACATACACACACACCACACCTAACCAGCACGATAAATCTGAATGGCAATGGACTTTTTAACCTTGGAAACTGGAACGCAGTGGAGTACTCTCTTCAATGCTTTGAGGGGAATTTTTAAGCTGGAATTTTATACCAAGCCACATTGTAAGTCATGAGTGAGGATTAACTAAAGACATTTCATCTCCAAGAGGCTCTCAAAGATACTTTTCAAATCAGTTTTGCAGTAAGCTAACAAAGATTGTGCTTCCCCCAAAACTAAGGAAAATACAGCAAAGGAGCCAGAGTTAAGGCCTGGAATGCCTGAGCGAGCCTGAGAAGCTAGAGTGTGGGGCTCCGAGGAGCAGGCAGGCCTCTGGGGGGCAGCAGTACTGCGGGGATGGGTGGATTCCTAACCACTGTGCTGGACAGGAAACAGCCAGGAGGACTTGGCGGCGTTTGGAAGGTAAGTTAGCGCAAGAAAACAGAACTAACAAAAGAATCTGTTATTTCCAGGAAAAGTTAAAGTTTACTGAAAAAGAAATTAATATAATAAACTATTTGATGAGGCATTGGGCAAGATGTGTGTAATTGTAAATCACATAATAGTATCAGTGCTGATGACTGGTTTAACCAAAATTGTATTCTGGAAAGCTTCCAGGAAGGGCAGGGTGAATATAATAGAGATTGGATTTCAAAATCTATCACATAGAAAATCAACCATTAATATCTTAATCTGGGGGCTGGGGATTTAGCTCAGCGGCATAAGTGCCTGCCTTGCAAGTGTGTGGTTGTGAGTTCGATCCCTGGTACCGATAAAAATGAAAAAGACCAAAAAAAAAAAAAAATTGTAATTTATTAATCTGATTCAAAATAAAATTTGTTCAGTCAATATTCTTTTTCTTCAAATTTCAGTGGAAGAACGCAGTTTCGTTGAAAAGCACAGATGGCCATCAAATTTGTACTTGAAGCAGCTTGCAGAATACAGGAAATATATTCACTCCCGGAAATGTCGTTGCCTAGTAATGTAATGTGGAGCTTTTATATACATACATGTTTTCATGATTATGAAGAATGGGATATTGCTGGATTCCAGTGGAATTCTTATGACTGAATGCCAGTGTGGATGTTAAAAATCAGCTTAATGTGTTTATTAGTTCTCTTTGAAAAACCAAAACTGTATTTTTAAAAGGGAACAAAATATAACACAGACTAAAACTAAGGCTTTACTCTAGAATATAAAACTGTTCTACAGCTATATTTTTCCCTTTAAGATGTTCTGTTGCTTTGGTGACCCCTCCTTGTTAAGAAATCCTTAAAATTTTTTAAAAAATCTATTAGGATTAATACAGAAATTCATCACATCTGATTAGCTGCTGTATTAAAACCAGGAGCAATGAAGAATCCCATGTAACTAATTCTACAATGAGAAATCTTGAGGTAGAGACTAATCAGTCCAATGTGAAATTTTTGAAATGAAAATTCGAGATTTTGAGAGTGTCATGCTAACTTTCTTGGTTCCAAACTAGTGTCAGTGTTTGAATCAACATCATGAACAAATCTCTTCCCTCCAGAGGGGTCACCTGTCTTCTGTCCGGGTTCTGACTGGGCAGGAAGCCCACCAGTTCCTGTCACACAGGCTCCACACTTGGAAGCCCTTCATTGTTTTGGTGCTTGGCTACGGCTGTCATGAAATTGTTAATAATGTTTGAAGAAGGGGCCCCATTTTGCCTTTGCACTGGGCCCCTAAAATTATGTGTATTTCCTGGCAGGAAAAATACCATGTTTTCCTGCTCAGACATCATTTTCTCTGAAAGCTGAAAGAGGCACTGGTGTCCAGGGAATCTAGGGCTTGTCAGAGGGGAGAGAGGACAGTGGTGATTCTTGCTCTTGGGGTGTCTGTCCCACAGGGCCTTTGGTGCCACCTCCATTAGTGCATGAAAATCACCAGTGTTGGATTAACTTTAAAACCTAGTCCTGGCTCTGTTGCTGATGAACAAACACTTTCTTGATCATTCTGTAAGGCCAAGGTATTGGTAACAGTGATGACTAGCTTGATTTTAGTACACATTTATAAAGATGTATTAAAAGGAAAAGATGCATTCTGAAGAATTTGCTGTGGAGGCTCAGTACTTCAGAGTGTGCTAAGATTAGGTTGTCAGTGGTTTGAATTGTTCGAATTCTTTCCAAGAAATATAGGGCTATTTAATGTGGAGTGGCTTGAGTCTTATCCTTTAAGGTTACTCAGTAAGTTAAAGAAAGGGTATAAATCAAAGATGTGTTCTGTGTAGAGAAAATGGTACTGGGATAGAAGACAGAAGTAGTTTCTCTCATAGCACATGTGTACACAAATGATTATTTCAGAAGCTCATAAGCCTGAAGTTAGAAAACAGATTACTTAGTATTTATTGTTCATGCTATTGCCATCTTTAATTTAATATTGGAATATGTTTTTCTGTTAAATTCGAGTGATTTTAGAATACGCATATTTTTTTTCCAACTTCTCAAATGTTTGATTGAACAGTCTTATAATGTAGTATTAGGATTCCATGCAGCTGATACATGTACCAATACTATCAGAAGAAAGTAAAAACTTCCTTATAAATATATTCCAGGAAACCTGCTTTCAATTGGACTGTGTTAATGAAGATTACTGGAATGTGTTTTGTATTTTTTGTGTTTTAATCACTTCAGTAATCAATTATTAGCAAATCCCATTTGGTTAGGATTAATATCATAAAGAATAGTTACTATAGCAAATTTCTATAAAGTCTTTCACATTTATGAACTTTTAAAATGCAATGGTAACCTTTTGTTCTTTGGAAGCACATTCTCATCACTATATTACAGCATTTAAAATGGAAAGTTACCAATTGCAAAACAAATTAAAATATTTTCTTGAAAATACTATTGAATAAGTAGATAGTAGCTAGTTCTTTTTGGTTGTTTGGCCTGAGTGAAATTGAGTTTGGAAGCTGGTACTCCTGGGTGCTGATCTGTAGTATTTATTTTGAAAGTTCTTTACCACCTATGTGGGTGACTCAGCCTGATGCATCAATTCTCCAGAGCTAATTAAAATATGATCAAATTAGTGTTAGAACTCATTGAGTGTAGAATCTTTAATACCTTTAATTGACTCAATTTAAAATGATGAGAAATTTCAGAGACTCATAAACTATTTTAGGGAAATGCATGCTGGTTTCAAGGAGAATTTTTCAATTGAACAATTATTTCTAGATGGATGTATACTTTTGCTGATCTCTGCTTTATTATATTTCCCAATCATTTTAATTAGAGAGGATACTCTATATTGGAGCTAAGGCCTTTCCTTTCTGGGCCAAGTTTTCATGCTGTTTAACCCTTTGTATACTGCTGGCTACTCTGTGTTCCCATTACAGGAGCCTAGATTTGTAATAGTGAACTTCTGGGGTTGTAGTGGAAGTTCGGCCCATCCACACCAGCGTGGGGGGCTTCACATTGGGTAGTAGCAAAATAAATTTTATTTCCACAGTAGCTAAACTTTCCAACTATAATTTTACAAACTACTACACTACTATAGCTAATTGGGCACAAATGTCCTCAAAGTATTTCATTTTATTTAAAGTATCTGTTTAATTCAATCTTTAATGATTTTGCAAAGAAGGGCATGTGAGTAATTTTAATAGAGCCTGACCTGAATTTATATGTTTTTAGCTTTAGTATTTAACATTTTATAACAAATAAACTTTTTTAAAAATAAGTTTAATGAAGTGTCCTGTAGTTATTTTACCTTGGATGTTGCTGAAATGATTGTGAGAATATTTCCCGGTGTTTCTCAGGTATGATTAAGTCTTGCAGCTAAGTTCCGTAAAGTATCTGGAGTGTTGCTGATATTGTAGATGCACTCATACAGTGAGATGAGATTTTTAAAATTTAGCATTGCTTTTAACAACTGATTAGAGAACACAGGAGTTTCTCTTAGCATGCTGATGGCTTTTATTTAGAGGGTTTGGATAATTATGTTTACCATAGGCAGGAGGAGGAGTGAGCACAGCAGCCGCTCCGAAAGCACATGTTGCACACCGTGCAACAGCAATCCTCTAAAGACTCAAGTTGTTGGCTGTGTCTCCTACATCTATCAGGGCTCCACGGCTGGTGTGCAGTTATGTCGCTAGCACAAATCTGCTCTTCCTTGCAGATCTGCATTTCTTTCTATGAGGCCCTTTATCAGCCAGCCATTTCTTGTCTGCTGGGCCACAACTCTCACAGGCAGGAAAGACTGTCCTTCCAGGTGTCTGTGTAGTTGTACACCTCAGTCTTCCTATAGCTTGGGTTAGATGCAAAATCTTGTGTGTCCTGTAAAACCCAACTTAAATGTCACTTTTCTTTTCCTTTCTGTGACTCTCCCATGGAAGAATTAATGGCCTCTGCTTGTCTTTGCCTTTGCTCTTGGTGCCTTTGTTATGGTACTCACAGCATTCCTGGGTACCCTGTGTTGGTAATCTCCATTTGATTCTGATCGATGGTAGGGATTGCAGAAAACCAGCCAGCTAGGAATGTGTAACTGGAGGGATCGAAAGGAGATTAAAGAAGACACAGGTAATTTTGAGAGAGGGCCTGGGGGCTCTTGCCTCTAGTGGACAAAGAGCTCTGAGCATCTGGGTTACCTCGCTTGTATTAATTTAGGAGGCAAGGGAACAACCAGTTAGGTTAATGGAAAATCCATTCACTTATTATTTGCAAGCATACCTAGGTAGGTATTTCTCTAAATGAGATGTCAGCTGAGTGGACTATTCCCCGGGCCTTGCAGTATACCGACATACCTCCATGTGCCAGAGAGGAACAGCTTGCCCAGCTCTCCTTCGTGTCCACAGGGAAGGTCACCTGGGCCTCAAACCTGTTGCCAAGTTTCCCACACAGGATCTTCCCTTACTTGTCTTCCTAACCCTCCATCAGGCATAGGGTCTAGATTAACTGTTATCTGAAAAAGCCAGGTTACTTAGCTGGAGTGGTAATCTACATGCTGGCAAATGCAAGTAAAAAATGTGCTCATGCTTGAAGCTTTGTTAGCCCTGTGTCTGGAGTCGATGCAGTCAGCTGGTATTGATATAGGGGAATGAAACTCCCAACCTATTATGTCCAGTATGAGTTTGTGTTCTCTAAAATTGAAGAATGAATTTTAGGAACAACGAAGATTATGAGCAGAATATATTTATTGAGAGCAAGAAAAAGCTTCTGTCTGAAAAAGAGACAGAATAGGTTCTGAGCAGGTTGCCAGGGGCTTTTGTCTTTTCTAGGGACTCTATTATAGAGTAAAACCATGAGGTTAGATGAGTCAAAGGTGGGGAAAATAGGAATTTGCAAGCTGGGCATAAGGTGGGGCAGAACTGTGGTCAACCAATAAGATTAATTGCTCAGGTAAAATTGATTAAATTAGGAGCAAATGGGGGAGTAAGTCATGTTGTAAGTGGGCATGCCTAAGAGCAGTGACTTCCTGTAGGGAGGTGGGATGCTGATTCTTGAATTTCTCAGGGTGATAGAGAACTATTTGGACTGTGGATCCTTAGGATGTGGTTGTATTTGCTTTGTCTTTTGTTTTGAGATCTGGCTCACAGCAAATGATTGTTTCTTCCAAGGCTGCAGGGTATCTGAACTTCTGCTCTGGCTCCTTTGAGGGCCCAGCCTTGTCTGATGGCCTATAATATTTCTAACTAGTTCAGCTGTCTGTTATACTCCCCACTCTGAAGAAGTAACCTGAACTGCTGTGAGGAGGTAATGGGCAATGACCAATCTGGCTTCTTCAGGCTAAAGAGGGTTGTAGTGGTTGAACAGCAGTCACAGATACTTCTGCAGAGGTTTTGTCTAAAGGCCCTCGATAGACACCAGGAGTTTTCATCTTGGGTAGATGTACAGCTTTAAGTCTGGAGGAGACAAAGCCAAAGTTAAGTATGGATGGGCCAAAGAATAAAATCAACAAGATAATCATGAGTATAGTTAACAAAGATTTCTACCAGTAGGAGCCAGTAATGGCTTCCCATATGAAGGAAAAAGATAAGGTCCAAGGAATTCTAGAGTAAGATGTGTTACTAATTTGCTATCTAATATCTTGAAGAGCTACTGAGATATTAGAAGAATCAGGAATGTATACATGGCATTCATTTTTACAATTGCACAAGTACCCTCCTGTGCTCTGTTAGAATGTCTAATGCCATCTGATTTTGGTGGATGACCTGCCTCATTAATTGTATTTTATTTATGAGACAGACCAGTTGAAGTGTCATTCAAGGCCTGCTGAGTATAGTTAAGATCTCAATGTATATCATATGACTTTGTCTGGACAAGATTTGGTGGATCCCAGTAAAAAGAATCTAGAAGGAATCTAGCATATTACTGATTTTTATCCATATGATGCCTTAGGGTTTGGCACCTTTAGGCAACAACAGTTTTTAACCATGGCATATATAATCAAAGTTTGTGTGCAAAGGCATATATAATCAAAGCAAGAGAAATAGTACTGACACAAGGTTAGAAACTGTTTCTAAGTTATAGCAATAGTAACCCGTTGGCTCTTAGGTCCTTTTATTGATGGAGTCTAACATTTTGTCATAAATTTTTCTAGCTTTAGTTATAATCATCTCTAAATTTGATTAACTTATGAGAAGCAGATTAATACTTTATTTTGACAAATAAAACTCTTTTAAGTTTTTGTATGTGAACAATAGTATGGTACTGTATTGGAGGTATAGTACCTGGATGGAAGACCAGAGTTGAGAAGGACAAAGCGACATATGCCAATGTCCAGCACTTGGCTGGTTTTCACTTCTCACCATGATTACTCAGGGCTCCTCCGCAGAGATGATAGGCACAGGTGACAGTGTGGCCAGAGGGAGGAGACGAGTGCCCCGAGGCCCTTCAGTTCTGCTGATAGGATGGGTCTGAACCCTGGGGCCTGGGCCTCAGACAGCAGTCAGCCTCCAGTGGTCCCCTTCGCAGTTGGGGCATGGCTTGGGAGGCCTTTTAAGGCAGTCCCTCTTAAAGTGGACCGGCTTGTGGCAGCGATAGCAGGTAGATATCCTCGTTGAGCTCTTCTTGGAACCCTGAGAATCAGGCTTCGTGTTTTTACGGCCATAATACAGGTGGCCATTTTTGGTCTCTATTTTCTCTCTTTGGTTTTCCCCCAGTCCTGATTATAGAATACTAAGGAAGCAGTTTTTACTAAAGAATCAAATGAACCATCTGGAGAAAAGGCTATCTCTTTATAGCTTTTTTCTAATACCTGGAGTTGACTGGTTAATAAACATGTCTTTAAGCAAAATCTGTCCCTCTATTGAATCAGGATCTATGAACATATGTTTTATTATTGCCTCTGAAAAATGATCTAAGAAGTCAGAGTGGTTTTTGCCTTTTTCCTGAGAAATAGCTGACAATTTAAAATAATAAGAAGGATTGGTTTTTGTCCTTCTTCGACCTTCAAGAATACAAACTTGAAAATGTTTCTTGTTCCAGTCTCCTGTTTTGTTGTCAGGCCACTCAGGCTCTGGGGTAGGAACTGCTTGTGTACCAGTGGGGACTGGAAGTTCCCCTCTCTGTCTGTCTTTTGGCCTTCTAAAGTTAATAATGTGGTAGTTATCTCCAAAGGCGATAGCAGCCTATAAGGCTGCCTGTCTCTCACTAGAAGTCAATGTCTGATTTAAGAGTAACATTACATCTTTCCAATCTAGTTCATATGTCGAGTAAATCCTCCAAGGACCTCAATGTACTTGTCATCTGAAAATTTTCCTAGTTCTAGCTTAATTTGCTTTAAGTCATTGAGAGAAAGAGACCTAAGAATAGGAGTGGTCTCATAAGGATTATAATTACATCTGGAGCATAGATAAGATTTATCTTTTAATGTAAAGAAAGTTTCAACATAATGCAGTTCTAACCATTTTTCCTCTTTCTTACACTGATTTTAGTGGTAAAAGCACATCATAATTAATACTTCCCTCTGTATTCCATTTTTGTTCTAGGGGGTAGGTAGGCCACGCACTGTGGTAGCCCATTGGAACTCATTTCCCACCACAGGTAAATTGCCTGGGGTGGGGAAGATGACCTCAAGATAGAGCCCCTTGGTTCTGCCTCCCAGCCTCCCACCGCTGCAGCGTCCCATTCAGGGCAAAATCCTTTCACAGAGAAATACCAATTGGCTCTTTTTCAACATGGAAGGGTTGAACATCTTCCAGTGCTGAAGAATGCATTCCAATGGAAGAAGGGGCTTTGGCATTGAGTTGCGTGTGTGTGGAATGTAAAAGCAAGGCATAAGGGTATGAAACCTTTTTTCCACGACCAGGAGTCAAACTCAGGAACTTTTGCTGAGCTATGAATGATACTGAGCTATCTAGCTATGCAAAAAAGGAAATACAATCAGGCGTCCTTTTTTTTTTTTTTTTTTTTTTTTTTTTTCTTTTTCTTTTTCCTTTTTATCGGTAACAGGGATCGAACTCACTACTGCCTGCTTGCAAGGCAGGTGCTTATGCCACTGAGCTAAATCCCCAGCCCCCTAGGTGTCCCTTTTTATTCCTATTTGATAAATGTTCCCTAGGCATCCCTTGGGTTGACACTGCTCCAGGGCAGGTGGATGCCTTCTGGAGGGAATGGAAGATGGATTCGGTCAGCCTATCCACCCTCAGCCTTGCGTGCAATCCTACCTTCCCAGATAGCTCATGAACTTTGTTTCCATAAGGAAGACTTAAAGAAGGAAGCATGGGGCTGGGGATTTAG